CCAGCTGCATTTTACGGGATTGATAAAGAAGAGAATATATTTAGCCCTCCTGGTACCTACGTGTGGGGCAGCGACCGGAGCAATGCCACTATATTTTTTAACTCGAGTGAGTTGTTTCTTCACCCAGTTAAACTGGCAAACATAACAAATGACCTCAAGCGAAGGCAATTTTATTGTGAGACCGTCTTCCCTCTGATATTATTGTAAGAATATCATTATTAGTATTATATGTATTTATTAAAATGTATATTTGCGTGACGCCCTTTTTACTGTCATGGATTTGTCTGTGTTGTTCCATGAGAGCTGCATAGGTCAATGACGGGCAGATGTGACACTAGCACACACTTTTTTTTTTTGGGGGGGGGGGGGGGGGGCACCAGAAATGGGCTTCACACATTGTATCCATGTCGGGAATCGAACCCGGGTCTTCGGCGTGACGAGCGAACGCTTTAACCACTAGGCTACCGGACCACCCCTATTGTTTATTGAAAAGATGTTACATATTAATGAAAATATAATCATTATGTGATCATAATGAACCTCCGACACAGATTCCATTGTCTGAATAGGGCAAAAAGAGCGTTGCAAATAATCATAGGAAATATTTGCTGAAAGCAGAATCCATTGTGCGATTCCGACTTCATTGCAGGTACATTATTTACAATCAAATAGGGATGATACTAGGTGTTGGCAAAGTGGTGGGCGGATTCTGTCCCACCGTTAGTACCTGTGACAAACACATGCAAAGACAAGTCAAGTGTCAAGTTAAACAAACACGGAATTGCATTAAACGTCATTTTGTTCGAAAATTCGAATTTGGAAATGACTTCCACATGGAATGCGGAGTTCACTTAAATGAATTTCAACTTCATCATTTATAATGCGACATTGCGCTGAGGATTTTAGTACTTAATCACGCAAGTGATAAGCAACTGGATTGTTTACGTAGCTTAACAGAAAAAAACAATGGTGAGAAATGATGACAGTGGAGGAACCGTGAAGCCTGTAACAAGGTGATCGTGTGTGATGTGTTGTTACCGCGTGTTGATTCTAGTTAATAGGGTGATTCTAGTTGATGAGGGGGACAGACACAGTGACATTTGTGCATGAATGGGAATTGCCGCTAAGAAGGGCATGTGAATATTTGACAAGTAAAAAATAACACAATAATAATAACTCAAGATGTTTCCAATTTATAGTGAAGAATTTAATGTGAGTTATTTATTTTAAATGGAAAATGGAAATATACAAAAGATCTTATTCAGTATGGTTCCCCAAAATAATATAAACTGAATCATATTCCGTATTTCTATCGCCATGCGTTTTAGAGCTAACCGAAAGCATAACCTCAGTAAATGGGGTTTTACGAAATCGTGGACTGTTTATCCCAGTTCTGGTCGTATCCCAGTTCTAGTCGCTACGCTCGTGGCCGTTCAATTTGTAGAGCCTGACGAAACGTCTTTGCGGAGAATATTGAATGTTTTAGATGTGTGGTGAAAACATTGGAAATTAACTGTAAATGCAAGTAAAACAAATATTGTACATTTTAGATGTCCTTCAGTGACGAAATCTAATTTTGTTTACACATGTAATGGTAATACCATTGAGTATGTTTAGTGTTAATGATACCTCGGTGTCTGGTTGAAGAAACATCTTGATAGGAAGAAATCTGACAGAGAACTGTATAAATCTGCCACTGTCCTCTTTATCTTCTAAGTTTGAGGCTGCTGGTGGCATGTCATATGGAGAAGCAAAATTGACTTACAGTATTGTGTATCTAAGACCCTTTAAGTAATGTTTAAACGATTATTATCTTTTATATGAATTGTCTTTAACAAAGTGCTGAAATTGTTATAGCTTCATACTTTTTATGAATTATATGTTTTGTATGTTTCCATCGTGTCTCATGAGCCTTATTGCTGGGCGTTAAATATTTATTTATGAATTGTATATAAATAATTTGTAACATTGTAAGGCTTGACACTGAAATAAACTACTTCTCCCTCTCTCTCTCTCTCTCTCTCTCTCAGTAATTTGCGCAGATTGAGGTTTATCTCATCTTTTTGTCATTAATACAATTAACAGTTATTCAATAAACCTATTACCACGTTTTCGTTATCACATTATTCTTAGTTTATGACACCCCTGATCATTGGAGCACAGATCTGTGACAGAGTGAAAGTAATTTTTCACCGCTTTTTCACGAGTCAACTCATCGCCATTAATATGTGGCGAATCGGTCTCTGGTCTCCGTACAGAGGTAACAAGCGGACGTTATAACCACTGTTCCACATCACCGCTGCAATATAAATGTATTATCTGTACGAACAGATGCCATTCTGTTTTTCAAGCCTAGGGAGATCTCTAGTCCACCGACTACACTCTAAGGTATATCAAGTTGTCCACCAACCGTTTATCGCGATATATCGAATGTCGGTTTCAGAGAGTGTTATCCCCTAGCCATGACTAGATATTTAGATATACAACGTATCTACTTCAACCTATTATGCACCAAACAGACAGACAGACAAACAAACACAAATATAATAATTCTGATACAAAAATGCAAACACCTTCACCAACTATTGCTTCAACTAATCAGTGAGGAGGAACATTTCCTGTTTTCGAAAGTTAAGTTTGTAAATATATCGTGTTCATTGTGATGAATACTAGAAAACTATTTGAACATCTTTTCACGCACATGTTAATACAATTCAATAATTATATATTTGGCAAATGGATGAATTGTAAATAAACAGCCCTCTTTTAAATTGCAATACATATCGATAATTCACATTTTGTTTCATAAATATTATCAATTCGAGGTTTGAAATTTGATAATACCTTGTAGGATGTCCCAGTACTTCCTTGTATATAATCTAACCCTGGCAGGCAGACTATGGTACGTGAATCCCAGCCTGTAGTCATCACGGACTGAATATAGCACACAACACTACAGGCGTAGTAAAAGGCGTGAACAGTTACCCCCCTTTACCATCCACGCTCATCAATCAAGAATCAAACTCACTTCAGCTGTTACAGGATGAATTGTAGTTCCCGTAACTCAGAACCTGAAACTGTCATACATTTAATGATTGTCTACATGTACATGTGTTCTGGACTGAAACTCACACTTTCTTTAATGTCTGGAGGCACGGGTGGCCCAGTCGTCTAAGGCGCCGCAATTCGCTGTGCAGAGTTGCGTCCCTTGGGCACGGTAGAAACCTATGATTGTGGTTCGAATCCCGGTTCGCCCCGGTTATGTTTCTAGGTTTGTCAGCACCATAACCGAGCTCGTGGGTTTCACCGAAGTGGTAAACGTCTAAGACCTGCATCACTTGGGTCTTTCCTCCCATATTAAGCTGACACGCCGTGATATAACTGGAATACTGTTAAAAGCGGCGTTAAATACAACTCACTCACTCTTTAATGTCTGTGGAATAAGTAATCTAGGTTTTATTCATAGCATAAGAAGCAAATGTCAATGCCTTGATTCATTTATTGCAATTTTAAAGGATATTATTAAGATTTGAAAAATCATTGCACATAAAATGCCTAAAAATAACAAAACATTACCAAATTCAATAGGTTGTATGACTGAATGGCTGACAAACTCCCTTGTATCATAATCATGTGTTTTTGCCACAGTTGACAAATACATTTTTGTACAATGTTTGTTGGAATGAAAGAAAACAAATTAGATGAAAAACCACACTATATCTGGACCCAAATGAATATAAGCAGCTGGTGTAGACCTTTGTGTTATGACTTTGATTTGTTTAAGATTATACTAAATTAATACATTTTAACACCTATAACCGAAACTATGAGACTACTCTGGATCTTACATCAATGATTTTCTTCATCAAAACATGTATTTTAATGTAAGTTGTAAGTGAAAATCGGGTTAGAAGAGGTCTTCAGCAACCCCTGCTTGCCATAAGAGGCGACTGTGCTTTTCAGAAGAGGAGGCTAACGGGATCGGGTGGTCAGGTACGCGGACTTGGTTGATGCATGTAACCGCATCCCAACTGCGTAGATCGATGCTCATAATATCAATCACTGGATTGTCTGGCCCAGACTAGATTCTTCATATAGCTTGAATATTGCTGAGTGCAGCGTTAAACAACAAAGGAACAAACAAACTAAATTGTGCAATCGACTGCTTTCGACAGAGTTTTCTTATGAATATTAAAAGGGTTCTTTCGCTTTTATTTCACTATATATGATAACTACGCGATAAATCACAAAGAACAGTGAAGAACGAAGCGCGGTTTATTTTACGAAAAAAACCCATTGTTCTATCATGTCGTCATTTCCAGAGATTTGACCATGCGCTCGAAACAAATTGAACGACGTTATTTTTGAGAGAATGGTGTCCAGTGAGTTTTCTTACCCGCATTGCTGGGCAACGTGGATAAACGCAGTGGCCGAACAATCGCATCCAAAAGTGGTAGAGATATGACAATCGGTATTGGGAGAAAAGGTGCAGATAATCGACGTGCAAATTATAAGAATATGTGGGTAAGACCAAATTTATCCCCTCTGTTCATAATATGGACTTGTCCGAAACTGCCGAGGTCGGATTCTATAAAGGGAGTCATCATTATTTAAACACGGGTTAATATTTTTATGGCTTGTACATTTTATTAACATTCTTAAAGAGGCTGTACATAATATTGCTATCTCATATAAGAAATAAACGACTCGTGGCCGTTATTTAACGTACAATAAAACACTGCACGGAGAATAAATCATTCTTATTATTATCATAGCTTATTCTCCCTGCAGTGTTTTATTGTACGATAAACAACGGTCAGGAGTCGTTTATTTCTAAAGTATTGGTCATTAGTGAACCACTGAACTGCTCTGCATACTTAAAAAGCACAGACCGACCGTAAGCCCAAACAAAAAGACAGGCGCGACAGAAGTCTCCTCTTGTCGATAACAGCTTCAGCGGGAAGGCTCGTGACCGTGCTGATTGGCTGTTAATGTCACGTGACTGCCGTTCTAGAGCTGTGACCGTACAATCGGGCCTTAGACGAGTTTAATTGTCCCCTTGGTCGGTATCCAGAATACATCAGGTGAGTTTTTGCTTTCAGCAGAGAGTTTTTACGATTATGGAAAGGATTTTGTCGCATTTATTTCCATTAGTGCGTTTTTTATAGAGGCGCTATACCTGATATATGCGCCAAGTGTGTGCGAGGTTATTAGTGTTCGTACTCTAAATTTAGAATGACATGCTGCGTGTACAAAAGAAATCATGTACAGATTACAGTTACAGAAAGACAGTTAGTCGATGCATGATGTCCACATGCATTCATTTACTATTTTAATACCTTTAGAAAGTAACGTGAGATGCGATAAAATCAGACACCTGTAGTTTGAATTGAGACCCGAGAGTGTGGGAAAGTCCCTTCTAAATATGGCTACAGTGGGGGCAAACCAGTTCTATTTATACTCGGACCCCGTGGTACCGCGGCATTCATCGTATCGCGGCATTTGTGATTTCCGATAGTTCACGCGGGACACGCCTCTTAGCGGCTGTCTATTAATGCAAATCAGTAACCAGGAAGTGCTCACTTCGTAAACAATTTCAATTTCCTCGGAATGTTCTGTCTGCTGTAAGTAAGGAGTTATTAATCCGTTGATACATATTTCTGGCATCTGTTGTAATATTGCCTTACCCCCATCTATCAATGGCCAACGATATAACCCGCAGTTCCCCAAATAAACTTTCTCTATCGACCTGAACTAGATCATCTGCATATTCATGGCGACTAATGAGGTAACGGAAGTTACGTAGTCCGCACATTTTTTCCCGCTCGGTGCCCAGAATCTATTGGGAGATCATAAGGGCCATAATGCCAAACTTAAAAATACGTTCTTCACTAGTAACCAAAAGATAAATACATACTTTGGGCATACTAGGAGTGCTTTTTATATATTTATTGTTGACTTTTAACATTTTTCCATTTTGTGACAAATTATTGTCATCCAATTTTTTTTAAACAATCTTAAAATATCATTTCTGATATTTTGATGTAGACTTATAAAAATATTTTTCTCTTACTTTTCGGTAATATGCATTGAATACCTATTGCTGATAACACATTTAGAATTTTACTTGTGCTGTCTTAAATTTGCACTTGTCTGAACAAAACACTGATGTCTGGCATGATCATACCAAGTGGTTGGTAGAATTATGTCCTCTTTTTGTCCAATTCGGACCTCCATACACAACTTTTCTCTGTACCGCGATACGATGGAGTTCTCTACCTTGTCAAACAGAGCGCGAGGCCCGGCTTTTACTCGGAACTGCTAATGTAAATAATGAACTTTTATCAGTAAAATATGCATTGTTTGATAACATGAATGATATCTGATACAGAGAACACAAATAAACATAAAGGTTAGTGAGTGCATTTTGTTCCGTTTAGCGTACATGACAAGTACCGCGATACCCCGAGGTTGCAGGCTATATGTTTTCTTTTATTCAGCGCGTAGTCAACAGATAATCCAAAAAAACTATGAGATGTGTCCAAACAAATAAAAAATTGTTTGTTATGTAATGAATTTGCAAGACAAAATACATTATACACCGGGTCCATACACATAGATACCAAAATGGCTAAAAAGGCTTCGATATATACGTACTCGAAAATAACCCTAACAAATACATTGTTTGGACAGTTTAGAAAATGGTTATGAGATATTTAAAAAAAACACCTGACAATGTGAAATCGTGGATGTTTAGAAAATGAGTTAGATATATACAAACTATCCATACAAGTATACATGTCACATGTTTATGTACATATACATAGTTACGGTCAGAGATAGACAGTTAGTTGATGCATTCATGTAATACCTTCAGAAAGTATGCGTAATAATCAAATAGTTTGAATCACGACTGAATAACGAGAAGTCCCTTCTACATATAGCTACAATTGGAAAAAAAAACCTGTTCTATTTTTATGTTTGTATTCAGGGCGAAGTCAACAGACAAACCAATGCAAATTTATATATCAAATATGCCCAAACAAATAGAAAATGTACCCGTTAACAGCAATTTGGATACCAAGAGACAATGACTTGAAGTATACATCTTCTTGCTACCCATAAAAATGAAACAGCTACAATACGGGCTCGAAAAACACCCAAACAAAGAACAAATACATTATTTACATAGTTGGGACAAGGGTTATAAAATAAAAATAATCAAATCATGGATGTTGTGAAATTGTTTTCAACACGCAAACACATGAATACTGTTCACACGTGTATACCTGTCACATTTCTATTTAAACTTGTTTAGTCTGCTATGCTTATAATATATAGTGAGTACAACACTGACTATGGTACACTAACGTGTATGGATATCATAGTGGGTTGTATGCATTGTTTTAAGAATGCACATCCATTCTTTCTTTCATATATTTTGTGCAACCTATACAACGACCAAAAGCATTATACACAGGCAATTTGCTGTCTGCAACGTTTCATTCAGCTGCAGTTAACACTAATAATAGCTCAGACGCTTACGAAAGTCGGAAGACAACAACGTACATATAGAGAATCTCACCCTCGTGTCTTTTGATATCAAATATATCAACACGAGCTTTTCCACTGTTATCAACGAGTGTTGATAAATTTGATATCAAAAGACACGAAGGTGAGATTTTATTTATCATCAAACATCATTCTTCCAACTCTTTCAGTTTGTAGACAGTAGTAAGCAGTGTCTTAAGTGAAAAAGTACTGCTAAAAGCTTCAGTAGCAGAACCATTAGTGATGACATTTGATTGTGATGTCAGGGTAACCAATGACGTCACAATTGTCTGCAAAGCATTGTGATGCAATTTCATTGCAGCGATATCTACGGTGTAGATATCGCTTGATCTCACCCAAACGATATCTCCCGTGGGAGCCAGTTTTGGATGATAAATGTATATAACTATGTTTGTATATTATTGCTTGAAATGAAGCTTAACGTGCGATAGTTTCATGGTCAAATTGCACCCTATTAGAACGACAAGATCTCCACACACCCAGTCAGATTTATCCCCCACCTGAAACCTCAGAATGCCCCTACGATGTATTGAGTAGTATATACAAACAATGTACTACTTTATTATAGCTGTGGGTGGATACCTCCGATTGTCAGTGGATATGTATAGCTTGACAGTGGTGTCGTTTTATAAATATGCCTGATCGATTAAATACACATGTTATTTTATGGGCGGAAAGGTTTTCAGCCATTCAAAAGAACTCGAACTCACGTTTTTTTGTCAAAATTGGCCGACCTAAACATACAGCATATACATATTCAACATCACCACTGGTTCAAATACGGAAGGGGGCACGGGTGGCCCAGTCGTCTAAGGCGCCGCGATACGCTGTGCAGAGTTGCGTCCCTTGGGCACGCCAGAAACCTATGATTGTGGGTTCGAATCCAGGTTCGCCCCAATTATGTTTCTAGGTTTGTCAGCACCATACCCGTGCTCGTGGGTTTCACCGAAGTGGTAAACGTCTGAGACCTGCATCACTTCGGGCTTTCCTCGGGGCGGTCGGGTAGCCTAGTGGTTAAAGCGTTCGCTCATCACGCCGAAGACCCGGGTTCGATTCCCGACATGGGTACAATGTGTGAAGCCCATTTCTGGTGTCCCCCGCCGTGATATTGCTGGAATATTGCTAAACGCGGCGTAAAACCATACTCACTCACTCACTCGGGCTTTCCTCCCACATTTAGCTGACACGTCGTGATATAACTGGAATACTGTTAAAAGCGGCGTTAAACCCAACTCACTCACTCAAATACGGAAGATATTTCAAGCAAAATACAATATGGAAAACTATCTGAAAAGCTTGCAATTAATTGGAAAAATAATGTTTATACTGGCACAAGCAAACTCCGTACGTATAGGATTGTTATTGCTGTGAAAACTATGTCAAGAGCTTTCTGCCCCGGAGTTACGGATCTGCCTTTACAAAATTTAGATGTGGTATTGCGCCTTCAAGGATCGAAGCAGGCAGATATATTAATATTAAAGGTTGAGGACAGAGTGTGCTTTAATTGTAATGACCATCTAGAAGATGAAAAACATGTTTTATTCGAATGTCCACTTTACGATGATCTACGTTCCACATTATTTACGGGTATAATGGCTAAAATGTCCAGCTTTTTAAACCTATCAAACAATGAGAAATTGTGTGTCCTTTTAAACATGAGCTATATGCCACTGCTAAAACCTGCTTTTTAATATTTCAACGCAGAAAGCTATTGCTATATGGGTAAAACGTTTTTTTTCTACTTATGGATAAGTAAGTGAAATGTTAAGGAATGATGAATTTGAAAGCTTTTGATCATTAAAATGATCATTAACTCAGAAATAAATAAAGTAATAATTAGAAATAGTTGACAGCCTTAGTATGAATATTCAATTTGCAGGCAGTACTGCTAATGTAGTCGATAATTAGTAGGCAATTGCTTCCATTTTTGTACCTTGTGAAATCAAGATTTAAAAAGTTGGAAGAGCATGAAAACAAGAAACGTGTGGCTTGTTAACCTTATTATTTGTAATGACATTTCAGGGCTTTTTGCCTTTTCATCGGGTGATCTTATCACTCTGCAGAGCTTGTGATTTCCCAAAAATAATTTTAGTTTATACAACCGTTTGCATTTTCATTTTTTAGGTTTTAGTTGGCGAGTAAATGGCCGGAAACACGGACAGGTCCCCTGATGTTGAGGGAAGATACAATCTGTCCAATTGCATAACGCAAACAATAGTCTCGAATCAACCTGTCAGCAGTGCAAGACAGGAGGCGATCAGGCAAATGATCTATGACAATTTAGAACAAGCAGAAAAGCGATATCGGACATTTATTGAAGAGCAACTTGCAGCGGACAGAACCGATGAAGAAATGAAACGTTGTAATTCTCATATGGAGGATTTTTTGACACAGTGTTTCCGACAGAGACATTTGGAGCTGTTTGAATCAAAAGGTAGGAACCTGTTTACTTGTTTCATAGGTGGCATTCTTCTGTGCCAAAGTGACAAAGCACGGGTTGATATTGGATTCCTAAATACATGCAGTTAAATTAGCATTAAAACGTTGTACACTTTGGCTACCAATGAGATGTAGCAGCTATAATTTTTAGTAATGTTAAAGGATGAACATGCGTTCAAGTACATATACATGCGTATACTAAACAATCAGAAATCAAATAAGCGTGGGAAACGCATTTCCTATTTGTAACGACCTTTAATTAATGATATACTGACCCGCAAAAGAAACGTCACCTCAAGTAACATTGCATGAAAAGTTGTCACTTAAATATCTGGGTAATTTTTGTCAAAGTTTCTAAAATTTAACATTACCTTGTCCAGAAAAAAATAATTTGATGATAAAAAAACAAAGCAGATGACAATAAAACCAATCGCCCAAACGCATCACGGCAACGGCCATGATAACCCGATGCACGTGAGTTCCGTGCAAATTGAAATGCACATGCGTTCCTCCATTTCTTGCCTTATAAAATTCCACCCAGATCGGATAACATTCATTCGTTATTGAATTGCTACCACATGCCAAGATGGACAAGAAATCAGCGACACCAAGCTGGACAAACCGCCAATGCATTTCAAGTCCACGTAGGGACAATATACAGGCTCCAGCAACGGTACCAGACCACCAACAATACACATGACCGACAACGTAGTGGAAGACCAAGGGTCACCACCCGACGTAATGATCGTCAGATTGTGCGACAGCATCATCAAGATCACTTTGTTACTGCTGTGGAAACTACTCGACAGACCATGGGGACACACCAGCGACACATTAGTCCGGACACCGTGCGTCGACGATTGACGAGCAGACACCTCCACTGTCACAGGCCACACCGAGGACCAATTCAGACACCACGTCATCGCCGGGACCGTCTTCAGTGGGCAACACAGCACCAGCGCCACCAACAGTGGAGAAGAGTCTTCTTCCCAGACGAGAGCCGTTACTGTATCTCAACAGCAGATGGCAGAGAGAGAGAGAGAGAGAGAGAGAGAGAGAGAGAGAGAGAGAGAGAGAGAGAGAGAGAGAGTCTGGCGACGTCGTGGGGAACATTATTCGGATGCTTGTGTTGTTGAGAGAGACTCGTGGGGTGTCGGCCATGTGGTCTTCCTCAGCAAAATACAATATGGAAAACTATCTGAAAAGCTTGCAATTATTTGGAAAAATAATGTTTATACTGGCACAAGCAAACTCCGTACCATACCTCATTTGGCACGTCGCCGCAACCACGAGTTTCAGCATGATAACGCCCGTGCCCACCTTGCGAGAGCAACAAGAGGCTTCCTTAAGCAGAATGGCATCAGAACCATGCAGTGGCCTGGCCTCAGTTCCGATTTAAATCCCATTGAGCACCTGTGGGACGAGATTCAAAGACGGCTGAATGACGTCCGACCAAGGCTGACAACTGCATCTGAACTGCGTCAGGCGTTCCTCAGAGCTTGGGCTCAAGTGCCTATGGCCTTCATGAACCGCCTCATCCATTCCATGTATCGACGTTGCACGGCAGTTATTAATGCACATTGCGGACACACGAGATACTGACTTCAGATGCCATTTACTCAGAGACTAGTGTTGTGTTTCACTTTATGAACCTTTGATACTTTAATTTTAACCTTGATGATCAGTTTTGCCAAGTTTCATATTTTTAATATGTCTCAAAGTATGTTTACAGTGTTTGGGCAAATAAGGTTTCTCATATATCTATCCATGGTGACGTGTCTTTTGCGGTTCAGTATATATATGTAAATGAACATTTCAGTATTAAGATTTTATCAAATTTATTGTCTTGCGTATGTAAAAGATTTAAACTCAGTAAAACTTAAATATCCCATATGCTTGATCTGCAGATTTGATCGAAAGATATTTGCATTTTGATATTTACTTGATGTAAAGATTTTTGAAAACATTAAATGAAAATATTTTTATTATATAATAAGTATGTAGTATGAAAGAATGATAATTCTGAATCGATAATTCTCAACCTTTCTCATTATTTGTGTCAAATATCGAAAACCCTCCGCCTAATGACAAGTTATAGAATGTTATCAATTTGACTGCAGGCGAGGAAGCTGCCAGGTCTCCTGCGCCCCTCAACCCTAACCACACATTTCGTTAACAATTGATGCTCTGGCAGCCTGTAACTGCATCCGGTGCCTTGTCCCACTGAATACTCGGTACAATGTATGGTCATGATGTGCATCTGATATCTTGGTTGGTTGGTTTGTTGTTTAACGCCGCACTCAGCAATATTCCAGCTATATGACGGCGGTCTGTAAATAATCGAGTCTGGACCAGAAAATCCAGTGATTGATATCATGAGCATCGATCCACGCAATTGGGACCGATGACATGCATCAACCAAGTCAGCCAGCCTGACCCCCGATCCCGTTAGTCGCCTTTTACGGCAAGCATATAGTCGCCTTTTACGGCAAGCAGGGGTTGCTGAAGACCTATTCTACCTCGGAATCTTCACGGGTCGCATCTGATATCAAATTGCCATGATCATCGGCCATACTTGTCGTATATTATCTAAGTAGTTTATGAGATCATCAAATAGACATTATTATTGATTGATTCGTGATTTAAATGCAAGATGGTGAAATGACATGAAAAAGTTAAATCGGATCGATATAAATATCTCGAATTATTTCTTGTGTGGACGGCATGTGTGATTTTCGCTTTTATGTACGTGTAATCACCAGGACCAAGATCAGTTCTCAGGTGACACCGTGTTGCCTCGCAGGAATTAGCTATTGAGGAGAATGAAGGACAACATCGGCATCACTGTTCCAGATAATTTTATAAACAACATATTTACAATTCTAAAAAAGTTAAAAAAATACTTCATATGACTACGGTTCATATGTCACGGGGTGGGGGAGTGGGGGAGCTAAGTGGTTCACAATGGTTCACATTTCAGTGATAACGCTGGAATGTTGCTTCAAGCGGCTTAAATCCACACCCATTCACTGAGTAATCTGTCAACCTAAGAGTTGGGCAAAAGTGGGCAGGTTGACAACTGCAAGACAGGACAATTAAACAGCAGATTTAAGTTAGCACGAACCTAAATTACCGTATACTTTTATGCAATACAAATACATCACACAGGGTAGAGTTATAAAAATGGTATTCATGTCATTGTAACATAAGCGTTAACGAGAGTTATTAATTGTTTTCTTGATTTCACCATAAGAAACTTGATATACAAGCATTGGCAATTTGACAATTAAGTACAGTTGGGTATACTGGTCAATTAATACAATGAATTTACCACCGTTCAAGGTGGTTTGGTTTTCTAGAAAGTCAAATAAAACCATCATTTTGAAAAAGCAATACAATAGATGCGACATCAATCATACTGCTGTGGGCAGCGCGTGTCACTATACAAACTCATTATGTTGAGAAATCCTTGATTGATTTTGATTCTTTAATTAAAATTTACATTCCGTGTAAAGCATTTACGTGACTGTTTTCAGACACGTCCCTACATGATGATGCCCACGTGCATGCATTGCGCATGCATTCGGATATTCTACAGCAAGATTTAAGATTAGAGGGAACTGTCCTCTTAGACAGATTAATAGAGAAAGATGTGTTGTCAGAAGCTGGTAGGCAAAGCATTTTATCACGTAAAACAAACCAGCAAAGAAATGCAGCTTTCATTCGTTACGTACGCCACTCATTCAACGCAGAGACATTTAAGACTGTTTTTCTTCCTGAACTAAAAGTGGAACATAATTATTTGGCGGCAGAACTTGCAAAAGGGTTAGCGCACCCGTCTTTCTCAATGGCCTCACTCAAACAGTGTCTCAGTTGCAAGGCAAAGGAACAAATAAACATTCGAAAGTTTGCAAGTCGCCTATATAAGATGGGTGGAATAACAGAGTCTGTCCATTTAGATTTAATCTCAGTTGACATCCCTCACAGAGATAGATGGAACCATTTGATACACGCAACTCGGAAAATACCTTCAGTTTTGATGAAAGCGCTTCAAAGTTACAATTATAGACTCTACAATAAACTTCAAAGGAAACGCCATCTGCATTTAGAATGCACTTGCGATGTGACCAGCACCATCGGTCAGTGTTCAACCTCAACATACACTGAAGGTGGCGAAGGAGACGTAGCCAGAATGTCTGATTTGTCATCAGAAATCGATTCACCATCACAAATACATCAGGCAAGTATAAACGGCGGTTGGTAGATCCGATATTTTTAGATTCTTACATGCCCTTACGGGACATTATACCTAGAAACATTATTCATATTTTGTATTAACGATTTTTGGAACCTGCGAATTAACCAACGACTGCGACACAATGCCCTTTTCACGAAGTGTCGGTCCGAACTGTATAGCCTTCACTGTAGGCAGATTATGTTAGTCAGATTTTGAACCGCTTACATCTACAACACAAGCTTGGGCATGTGAGATAGATAAGGTCCAATGATAAATGATGTTGAATAGCTTTCTTTTAAACTATTGATCAAGGTGATTACCCTTTGACTGACACGTAATATTTATCAAGACAATTGTAACATGTTTGCACTAAAACATAGTTCATGCCTGTTTTTGAGCAGGTGATGTACACTCACAAACGGCGATTGGACGTCAGAAAGTCTGATCAAGTAAGTACTATATGGTGTCATGAAAGTCGGAGACATGCTGAAATGTAGGTTTGACGATATATTGAAAGGAACGATTCGTAATGAATGTAAAAGTTATTTCATTTATGTTTTGTTGTGTCAGCTCATGGCTTTAAAACATATATTAAAATTCTGAGCTTACACAAATATAAATTTAAGATTGTTTAACCATTGCTTATATAAGTTACATTAATCTTCTCGATAGTATAGTTTTGCTTATACAGGTTGTGGCCATTATGATTCGAATAGAAATAAGTAGCGTATCATTACTTTTCAGAATGATGGTATCGTCATCTCAGGATCCGGGACATCATCATCATATGTACGCATATGTTTAGATTTTCCACAGAAGACGATTACTGATCCATCATTGGACCAGGTTTTATGACATACACCATTGCTTAAGTGTCAGTTTATTTTTTATTCTCGTGCATAAGGTTACCACTATCTCTTTATCATCTACAGAGTAAGATATTCGTCGTGTATTTCACTGTTATAAAAGATTATGTACATGTACTGTTTAAGCAGCACATTACAATGTATGGTAGAAATTAAGAACGATATCTGTCATTTCACTTCCGATAAAGATTTTATTTGCTTGATGAGTTAGGATTCTTCTGACATAAAAGAATAGAATAGAATATATGCATGAATGTAACTTATTGTCTGTCCCTCCTATGTAGGAAATATACGTTGTCTCCTAAGGAAATTGTTGTGTTCCAGGACCAAATCATGGAATACATCCGCACCAGGTGATGAAAGCACCTTTACCACCTGTCAGTGTGAGTACAGTTTACCTTTTTTTGAGAAGGTGAAAGGGTGAGTTGGTTTAACGCCGCTTTGAACAGTAGTTGAGTTATTAGACGGCTTATTAACTTATATGGGATAAAAGCCCGAACGACGTTGGCCTTGAGACGTTTACCACTTTGGTGACACCTGCGAACACGAGTTTGGTGCTGACAAAAAATATTTAGAAACATTACCAAGATCGAATCAACGATTATAGTTTTCGTTCACGCCAAAGGGACACAACTCTGCACATACCTGTGACCCCTGACTATATTGGATATGCTAAATGTATGTATTTGAATAGTTCAAGTGTAGAAAATCTCAGTATGCTACATACTTGTCTGTATTACTTTACTTTTCATAAATGTACAGTAGGTCCACCATCGTCCACGATGCCATATTTTGCAAACAGCATTTATATATTCCGTTAAACTGTCTACCACGACCAACACATACGTACGAAAACTATGTGACGTTGAATGTTGATGTTTGGTAGTGAATGTTATGATTTGAATGTTGCAGAAAGATAATCCGTTTACAAAACAAAGACGAGGTTCTGATGGGGCATCTCAAAAGAGGTGGAAAGGTAGTGTATCATAAGGACAGAGCAGAATTGTCTTAAGATGTACTTTACTGTGAAAGTTTGATGATTGCTTCATGTAAGTATGTTTGGTGACATACTTAATTGCGTTTAAAAGTAGTTCAAGTACATTGACACCTTTGTTGTTTGTTTGTTTGTTGTTTAACGCCGCACCCAGCAATATTCCTGCTATATGACGGCGGTCTGTAAATAATCAAGTCTGGACCAGGCAATCCAGTGATTGACATCATGAGCATCGATCCACGCAATTGGGATCGATGACATGCATGAACCAAGCCAGCGAGCCTGACCAGCCGATCCCGTTAGTCGCCTCTTACGACAAGCATAGTCGCCTTTTACGGCAAGCATGGGTTGCTGAAGACCTATATGAAGTAATCACGTGTAATGGCTAATACCACGCATTTACCATTGAGCTTCGTATGCCACTGGGGCTGCTAAATGATCCCAGGTGAAATTGGGTTTAACGTCGCGTTCCAGGTTATTACACTTGTATAGTAACGTGCATGCACGTGTGTGTGTGTGCGTGCGTGCGTGCGTGCGTGCGTGCGTGCGTGCGTGTGTGTGTCTGTGTGTGTGTGGCTGCTTGTACTAGTCCGGACTGATGCCGATTTATAGTGCTAGCTCACTGAGATACCATGCCGCAATACCCCACTCATACACAGTATACTGACTCCGAGCCTACCAGTCAGACAGCGCCAGACAGGGTAACAACAAGTACCATCTTTTAACGTCTTTTGGCTTGACGTGGCCGGGTATCGAACCCCGGACTTTCCTCTCTCCTAGACCACGGAGGCTGTCCCGTTTGTAAGAACTTTTGACTGTGACATTGGAACACGTATGATCGATTTTGGATGAGTTTTAGTTGTTATCATATTTTACTCACAGAGCAAAGGCAACCCACAAAGACGAGAGGCAACAATGAATTTCTCTGTCATACCATTACAAGTGACGTTTTGGATATGGAAGGATCTTTGAGCGCACAATTTAAAGAAATGAAAAAACTCAAATACAAGTTGATGAAACTGAAGAAGCAGGTTGGTTTCGCAAGACAGTTCACTCATTACTCACAATCTCACGCAGTCAGACCAAACTGCTATTGGACACTATTTAACAGAGATATTGGTACATCTGCTCCGATTATGCCACCTCGAATCCGGCTTCAGAAACATAGTTCAGTAGACTTGAAACAGGGTATAACGTCTCTAGGTCACCTAGTAAAATATATGTGCACATTAGGACGTTTGATATATTTGATTAAATAGGACGAGTAATATATATAAAATTTATGTGTTTGGTTTTGGTGCACTGTACCGTATCGTGAAGATTTTTGACATAGGCACCCTAAACAAGACCAAAATGTACAGACAAAATCTTCAGTCTCACACGCTCTTGCATCCAGCGCCATATTCGTCTCCCGACATTCATACAATGTGTGCAGCTCATTTCTGGTGATAATGCAAGAATATTGCTATATGCATCGTAAAGAAACCCTTACTCATTCCCTCAAACCTTGATGAGGGATGCAAAGTTTGTAAGTAATCAGCCAGTCAGTGCCAAATGGGTTTGGATGCTTAATTTATTTTGTTTTACGCCACACTCAGCAATAATCCAGCTATATGACGGCGGTCTGTAAATAATCGCGTCTGGACCAGACAATCCAGTGATTGACATCATCAGCATCGATCTACACAATTGGGCCTGACCACCCGATCCCGTTAGTCGCCTCTTACGACAAGCGTGGCCGCCTTTCACGGCAAGCATGGGTTGCTGAAGACCTATATCACCCCAGATCTTCACGGGTCCTTTACTTATTATTCAGTCTGGTCTAAATATACACACAAACACTTACCACTGGCTATTGATTTATCTCTGGCCTAAAATCCGTCAGAATATTAACATCTCGACAATACCAAAAAAAATTTCAGTCATTCGAGCGTGGATCTCTAATAACATTCGTTTTCGTTAAATCGTTATCATTTTCTTTAACTCGTGGTCATTTTACAATTTCTTGTTAATTAAAACATGTCATATTATGAACGTGTGAATGTGAATAATCCCTTAAAATATTTCAGGCAGTGCACAATGCGGGAGTGAGGAAGCAGTATCGACATTACATTAACTATTCCAGGTACGTGGAATAAAAGACTCGTTAATTAATTCGTTTGTTCTGGCGACATATAATAGACGAATCACATATTGTTGAGCTCTAATCAATAAATCTATGTTAGCTAGTAATGCATTGAGTTATATTAATTTTCAGTTCTTACAGTTTGTTGTTTAACGCCGCACTCAGCAATATTCGATGGCGGTCTGTAAATATTCGAGTCTGGACCAGACAATCCAGTGATTAATATCATGAACATTGATCCACGCAATTGGGATCGATGACATGCATCAACCAAGTCGGCGAGCCTGACCATCCGATCCCGTTAGTCGCCTCTTACGACAAGCATAGTCACCTTTTACGGCAAGCATGCAGTTCTTACTGAATTGCAACCGATTTGTACAATATACGAAATTGTCCGAATGTATGCTTCCTGAGAAAGTATAGGTGTGTCTTTCCTGTAAACCTGTATCGACACTACCTTAGAAATAATAAGTAATATAGATATGACATGTTATTTTTGCTGTACGTATATGAACGCTACCTAGGATGGTATGCAATGCAGTAGTGTGTGGAATGTTACCTCTATGAATTATTTACATGTATAAAGACTTGTAAGGGATCGCCCATTTGATACCTGCAAAACAAATTACATTGTTGCAACGTGTCATTCTTTAGAAAAATGTTATTTCACTGTTTTGCAAGGAACAAAACCAAGAATTAAAAGACATCCAGGCAAGTGACGGAACAATGCTGACAGAATCTCCAAATTGTTAAAGGTCAAAGACAACACAAGCCACATCAAATATAAGACCGTCCGAGAACCTATGACCCAAGCGCTGGTTCGTTGCTGGTCCGAAGAGGGGACTAAATTGGACCGGGTGGCAAGGCTCTGTGACGGATGGTGGCAACACAAGCCACATCAAATATAAGACCGTCCGAGAACCTATGACCCAAGCGCTGGTTCGTTGCTGGTCCGAAGAGGGGACTAAATTGGACCGGGTGGCAAGGCTCTGTGACGGATGGTGGCTGAGACGGGACATGAGAAAGCGACAACAAGAGGCCCTATTTAGGGCTTTTGTGTGACGATACACGCCGTCGGCGCGTGGCGGGTCATGGCAATACGCTCTGAATAAATCAGGTTAAAATCTAAATATATACTTTTTAAAAGAAGTTAAAGAACACCCGATTCTTTCATATGGCTTTGGTTAATCCGTCATGGCTGATTGTATTGCAAAACACAATCTTATAAGTGTGGGTGTTCTTCAACTTGTTTTGAGCAGTATATGATGTTACAGTGTGAATGCCATAACACTGTTGTCCGTAAATATTCTTTTTGACATTTGATTTATGATCAACTTGTATTGTGTCTTTTGTCTGGTGCAAATCTACAAGTATATGTACTTGCATATAATAATTTGAGTAACTCTGCTGTGAGTGAGTTTGGTTTTACCCCGCTTTAAGCAATACTCCAGCAGTATCACCGCGCGGAACACCAGAAATGGGCTTCACGCATTGAACCCATGTGGGGAATCGAATCTTCGGCATGACGAGCGAAAGCTTTAACCACTAGATTACCTCACTGCTCCCATCACAGTTGATATGTATACTTGGGTGAACTATACATATGGCGAGACATCCCAATTAGTCTGGCCACACAGTTAATCAAAATGAAGTGCTTTACTATGATTATATATGACATATACTCTTAAAAAAACAAACGCAAAGCCAGAATTGTGTGAGGTAGGAAACTTTATACGAGGAACCGTACAAGATATTGAGCCAAAATGTTGTACAGTGAACACTTGGTGATTGTAGTCATCTGAGTTATCGGTACATAGGAAAAGTCCAAGGTGAAGGTCAGCTTCCATCAATAACGCGTGTGTCCCCCGTTGGAATCGATAGGGGCCTGACATCTCCTGCCCATGGAAGAGACGAGTATGCGAATAACATCCTGGGGAATAGTAGCCCACTCGGCCTGCACCGCAAAAGCCAACTGCTGCAACGTCTGGGGTTGTGGTTGACGTCTGCGTAGCCGTCTATCCAATTCATCCCACAGGTGCTCTATCAGGTTCACATCCGTGGAACTGGATGGCCAGGGGAGAACATCAACGTTGTTGTTGTATTGACGGGCTCTTGTGATCCGTGCTATATGTGGTCGAGCGTTGTCCTGCTGGAATACACCGTTGCCGTTGGCTGCAATTGGGAGTACGTGTGGTAGGAGAATTTCGTTGATGTATCGTTGAGCCGTAAGATTGCCCTGGATATGGACCAAACCTGTCCTGCCATGATGAGAGATAGCTGCCCACACCATTACGCTACCCCCACCAAACCTGTCCACTTCCTGTACGCTCTTTCCAGCGTAACGTTCTCCCCGACATCTGTAGACGCGTGCTTTTCCATCCCATCGACGGAGGAGAACTATTGTCGCTGAACCAGACATCTCTCCATCGCTGTTGAGACCATACCCTGTGTTGACGACACCAATGCAGTCGTTTTTGACGATGTTGTCGACGCAATATGACGCGTCGAACAGGACGTCTTGCTCTTAGACCTACTGCTCTTAAACGTTTTCGTACGGTCTGGTCAGTCCGGGTTTTTGGGATGCGGTTGTGCTGGCTGTGGTCGTCCTTTCACATAGGTGGCGCAGTCGGATGTAGCGATCTTGGGCGGGGGTTGTTACTCTTGGTCGTCCCGACCTTGGCCGATCACGTGTTGACCCATGCTGTTGAAACCGATCCCATAGCCTTGTGATGGTGCTGAGCGCTACATTGAAAACCCTGGCTACAGCTGATCGGGATTCCCCTGCCTGCAAGCGGCCTATGGCGTTGTTTCTTTGCACTTCTGTTAATCTTGGCATGTTGTTGAACTGTGACTGTTGGATTGACGCAGATGCCAGGCAATCAAAAACCCTGCACTTTGATACCTTTCATAGTGCTGCTGCACGTGCAGTACGTGCAGCACCATGGCCCTTTTGTTAATGCACTGGGTGCGTTTTTTCCGAATCGTAGTGTTTCCCGATTAATGGTTTGCATGTCCTTGTTGTGATAATTTTGATCCGGGACATTTGTCACTGACACTATAAAACATTAAACCTCTTCATTTTGCACCTCTTGGTCCTCTAATTTTGCTTCTATGGCCAAAAATATCCGTTTTGCGTTTTTGTTTTGAAGAGTATATGCTAAATCATATTAAATCAGCTGTCATTATAATATTTTATGTATATTTCAAGTATAGTTTTGTCAAATTGTGGGTTGTGTTGACTGTCTGTCTTTCTCTGTCAAGCTGTCATGCTGGCTGCGTGCGTGCGTGCGTGCGTGCGTGCGTGCGTGCGTGCGTGCATGCATGCATGCATATATGTATGTCTGTGTGTGTGTGTGTGTGTGTGTGTGTGTGTGTGTGTGAAAATAGAGATGATAATTATAGGAATGTATCATTGAATATGAGCTAAACGCTTTTTAATGGGCAATATTGCTTCCTCGCTGTATTGCTTTCTTGCTCTATCGCTTTCTCTCATGACTAACCATAGTCATATGAAAGAAACGGATGTTCGTTACTTTCTTTTGAATAGTATATATTTAGTTTTGAAAGGCATTTAGAAGTGATGCGTATAAGGAAGAGAGAACTGATGGATGTCAGCGTCTGAAGAACACAACGTTTAGGAATATATTCTTACTCCTTCATCAGGTGAATAAATGCTATGAAGCAGAGAATATATATATGTACCTGTAAGAACAACAAAGGTGGAAACAAGGGAAGCCAACAGTTAATGTCGTAGTATTGGTTAAGATACAGTTTACTTACGATCGCTCTTTAATTGCGCATGCTTATTAGTTCATGTACAAACTCCATGCTGTAAACATGTGCTCGATATAAACAGAAATCAACATAAACAATCGTTGATTATCATTGTGTGGGACACATAACGAACAGGTATCAAAAGTTAATTGGCGCAGATAGGACTGGTGGTAAGTAATGGACAACACCAACACGTAACAGTTAATTAGCACTGATCGGGATGGACAATGGGAAGCCAGGACTTTGATCTGTGCCCTGTTGCTTGTGTTCTGTGAACAAATCTTTGAAGTAATCTTTTATTGAACTTGGAATTTATTTTGCATTCTTATTAAATGAAATACATATTAGAAAGAAAAATAATAATAACAATAGCGACAAAACCCTTTTCTTATTCGTAAGAAATCTTCGCCAAAAGCAAAGTCGATTGTACGATTCCGACCATATCATGAACATGCGTTTATGAATGATGACATGCAAAGGAAAGTCAATTGTTCGCCTAAAAAAACACCGGAAACATAATGGTACAAGTCAAAATAGGGAACAGCATAAGACACAATTTTTGTCACTGATGCTTTAAATTTTGAAATGTCCAACACATATCTACAATAAAACGTTTTGAAAGCTTTACTGATCCATGGTCAATGCGTTTTGTAACAAAAGTCCCGTCGACGTCTTGGGAAGCCGGAAACGGACTCAATACATTGACGTTCGCAGTTTGCTGGTTAGAAAGACTGCCAGCGTCTTTAATTTTGTCGTAACAATCATATGGCCGGGATACGTTGAGTTGAGTTCACCGAGTCGCAGAGAGGAACTCAAGACCTTGGTCTAGCTGTACAATACAAAGAAGATCCCCAAGTGCAGAGCTGGATACGATTTGTTATGAACTGTAATTCAAATATAGTGATTTCATGTTCACCGGATATGCTATGATAATATTACAATTCTGTCACATAAATGACAAAAATTCTATATTATGTGTAAATTTGTTATTAACATAAATATATAATAATCATTTCGTCAAATACCTCATATTTTGGTTCTCTGTCATTTGTGTTGGGTTGTTCCACTTACGACTCAGGTAAACAGGTAACAATTACTAGTGCAATCAACCTTACCTAATCACGGTATAAGCTGTCTGACAATAGGCCGTCTGACAGTTCGGACGTTACCCTTGGTTCATGAGGATGTGTTTGGAAATGTGTGTATTTAGATTATTGCCATGACGCGCCATGACGGCGTGATACTCCCATAAAGCTCCTAAATAGGGCCATAAATCAATTAATAACTTGTTTGCGCAGAAATCCGTGGATTGGTATAAAGTCACCTACCTCTGTCAGTTAAAATATGTTTAAGTAGAAAGGTATAATGTGAAATGTGAAAAATGTTGAAAAATCTCAGCTCTCTTTTATGAAAGAAAAAACACCTCAGAAAACAAAAGCTACTGCGTTATGGTACCCCTACTTGTGTTTGTTTGTTTGTTGTTTAACGCCGCACTCAAAAATACTCCAGCTGTATGACGGCGGTCTGTAAATAATCGAGTCTGGACCAGACAGTCCAGTGATTGATACCATGAGCATCGATCCAAGCAACTGTGATACGATGACATGCTTCAACCAAGTCAGCGAGACTGACCACCCGATCCCGCTAGTCGCCTCTTACGGCAAGCATGTGTTGCTGAAGACCTATTCGACCCCGGATCTTTACGGGTCTGGATCTGAAGTTAAATGGTTTTTTTTCTCTCAGTTGATACACTTATATGGCCTCCAACATCTGCTGCAGACATATTTTAGGATGTACTATCAGTGCAGTATCATTCGCACAGAGAAATACGGATACCAAACTGGTATCAAAGCTTACTACACAATATTGATAATTTAATTTCTCAGCCGAGTCATTCATACATATGGAGAATTAGGTCGGTGACAATTTGTATCCCTGTTTGACACCCAGGGTGACAGGAAACACGTTTGTATAAAACTGCTTGAAATTCAGAGAACTATGCACATCTCAGAAAAATATATCATCCAATATTCTTCCTCATGACTATCAATTTTAACCATAGGCAATTGTGGTTGATGGTATGGAATGCCCTTTTCATGTCGACAGAAGTTGGCTGCTTATTCAGTGTTTTTCTTTTCTATCAAGGAACAAAGTAAATGTAAGCTGAATCGTCCGATTTATAAAATGAACTATATTTCTATTTTTTGTCTGCAGTAATTTAGTTGATAGACA